AAAGATGAGTGGTGTGTGATGAGTGGTGTAAGATGGGTGGTGGTGTAAGATGAGTGGTGTGTGATGAGTGGTGTGTGATAAGCGGGGCGCGTGCAGTTTCAGAAGCTCCTGCACATAGCTCAGCTGCTGCTGCGGATTCCTGCGCTTCTGACTCTGTCTTGGTACTCGTCAAAGGTGGCGACGATGTCCACACAAGCCTGTCCGTTCGGACTCAGAAAAATCTCGCCCACAGATCCACTCTCTGGATCCACTCGACGAACTCGCATCCAGCCTTTCAACACCAGATCGACGCCAGGTCGACTGAAGATGACGGGTTCCGGAGCGTCGCCCTTGTCCACGACGTGACTGCCGCATAAAGCATATCTGCGTTCTCTTCCTTTCGGACTCGTTGGCCCCATCGAGATCCATTTCAGAGTTCTGATCCTGCTGTCTACCTTTGCGTGTTTCATCCACCTCTTCTCCTCCTCTTTCTTCTCATGCCGCCTTTGGGCTTGTGCGCGCTCTACCCAAGCCAGTGAAAGAAGTCAATCTTGTCCGTTGGAATGCGGTGGGCCCCTGACCAGATCCATGCCCTTTCTTCGTCCACATCTCGCCGCCCTTCGTCGCAGTGGTCAGCGGGGCCGCGGGGTGAAGCGTCAGCTGCCTCCAGAAAGGGATGCTCCCTTCGCCAACCAGAAGTGGCAGCACCGCACACAGTCCCCGTGAGCAGCATACAGAAATAGACAATGTTCACGCTCCTCCTCCGCCTTGCCCTGACGTCGCTTCCGTGTTTTCTTGCCAACGCGAACAGAAGGGATCCATTTCAGAGTTCTGATCCTTCTGTACACCTTTGGGTGTTCCATCCTCCTCTTCTTCTCCTCTTTCTTCTCACGCCGTTTTTGCGCTTGCGCATGTTCTGCCTGCGGCGCCCACGCGCGCCGCAGCTGATCCAGGAGGCTCTGCGCCCTGCGCCTGCCACGAAATCTGCACTAAGCCACGCGCGGCCCACCGGCGCCCACGCGCGCCGCAGCTGACCCTGTGTACTGCGCCTGCCACAAAATCTGCACTCCAGGCTCACCAAGTACTGCGCCTGCCACGAACTCTACACTGCAGGTTCACCAAGTGGTGCACCTGCCACGAAATCTATACTCAGCCACACGGCGCCTGCCACGAAATCTACACTCCAGGCTCACCAACACTGCAGGTTCACCAAGTGCTGCACCTGCCACGAAATCTATACTCAGCCACACGGCGCCTGGCTCACCAAGTACACTGCAGGTTCACCAAGTGCTGCGCCTGCCGCGAAATCTGTACTCAGCCACACGCGGCCCACGCGGCCCAGCGGCGCCCACGCGCGCCTCA